CAGTATGTTTCTCTGTGTAGCCATAATGAAAAACAGTATGTTTCTCTGTGTAGCCATAATGAAAAACAGTATGTTTCTCTGTGTAGCCATAATGAAAAACAGTATGTTTCTCTGTGTAGCCATAATGAAAAACAGTATGTTTCTCTGTGTAGCCATAATGAAAAACAGTATGTTTCTCTGTGGAGCCATAATGAAAAGTTGAAAACCACTAAATTAATCTAAATTACTGTATTTCGTTCTAGAATGACTATACATTGTAACAGATAATTACATATTTAGTTTTATTACTTTAGAGATGTACTTACACCTTCCCACAGTATGTCAAAAGTTATTTATCACAGCCAGATAGTTTCGTGTACAAAGTTACAAGCATGACTTACAAACATGCTTCGTGCACACAGCAAGCTAGGATATTGATTATCATGAGAAATTGTTTATTTAATTTTACTTATCTAACCTAATAAGTTTTTACATTTTAGTTAGTTTTATAATATCAAGTAGACATTATATATCAAAAACAAGAAATTTATTTATTACTTACTCATAAAAACACCTGCTTTTTGTTGTCAACAAACGAAGCACTGATAAAACAAGATACAAACGCTATACAACATCCATTACAGTGGAATCTTGAAGCAATAAACTCAACGTTAAACTCTGGAACAAATAAAACTCTCCCATGATCAACAATTAATATCTACAAATGAACTTCTGGCTGTAGGCTTTCCAAAGATTTAGTATAATCGTTTCTGCAGTTTGACGGATAAACTTATTTGAAAGATAACGTGTAAAATATATTCACAACTGATGAAACTCCAGCATACTCAAGAGAACACTGTACTTTCTAAGATTTGTCACAATGATATCAACAAACCCAGCTATGGAATACACACAGAATATATTCGGCTATACAAAGGAGCACTGTACCACATACACACACACAGCACACTGTGCTAATTAACGAGAACACTGCCATAGCATACTAGGCCACACATTATGCAGTTCACTGGATTACCCAAACACCATACTGAACCACACTGTACACTGGATTACTCAAACACCATACTGAAGTACACAGTAAACTGGATTACCCAAACACCATACTGAACCACACTGTACACTGGATTACCCAAACACCATACTGAACCACACTGTACACTGGATTACTCAAACACCATACTGAAGTACACAGTAAACTGGATTACCCAAACACCATACTGAACCACACTGTACACTGGATTACTCAAACACCATACTGAAGTACACAGTATACTAGATTACCCAAACACCATACTGAACCACACAGTATACTGGATTACCCAAACACCATACTGAACCACACAGTATACTGGATTACCCAAACACCATACTGAACCACACA